GCCCGCCCCCCGCCCCAGGGACTCCCAGGCCAGTAAACCCCCCGCCCGGGGCTCTTCCGTGTCGCCGCGGTGGTGCTGTTACTTGAGTAACTAGGACAAGACCCCGAGATAGTCCGCTGGGGTCCACACCCTACGTTTGGGTTCGGTGATGTCTCCTGGTTTTTAGTGGCCGCGACGGCGTTTCTCAACCACAGAAAACCACACCCCAACCGTGTGCGTGAAGCGCGCGGGCTACCTTCCTCCCAGAGAGCCCGGGCTGGGCCGCTGTGGGCCCTCGGGGTGGGGTGTCCTCAGCCGGCTCTCTGTGCCCCTCTCTGCCTTTCCCTCAAGCTCTGGGGGTGGCAGGCACAGCGCCATAACCTCGCATCTGAAGGAAGGAGGTGATACCACCAAGACAATAAAACCTCCCCAAGGACTCGGCCGCCCTTGAGTCTTAGGTTTTGTTTTCTCTCTTCCAATTTGATTTCCTCCACTTTGTGGTGGAGGTACAGCACGTCGTAGCACGTTGTTGTTCTGTGCGGTCGAGTCAGACCTGACTCATAGAGACCCTCCTTGGGTTTTCGAGGCAGTATCTCTACAGAAGTAGATTGACCAACCTTCCTTCCGAGGAGTGGCTGGTGGGTTTGAACCGCTAGCCTTCTGGTTAGCAGTCAAGTGCCTTAGGCACTACGCCACCAGAGCTGAGGTTATACCATTTCAACAAATTCCACACGGACAATTCAAAGACACTGCCCTTCCTGTTTGTAAAGAAAAGCAAAACGTGTCCCAGAGCCCGCAGCCCACTTCTGTGTGTGTCTCTTGGGCAGGAACCGTTTGGTGGCACCACCCGCAGCTGCAAGGGAGGCTGGGAGATCCAACATCCTGCCCCGCTGCCTGGCATAATCTGCTTTGTTAGCAAGGGTGCGTCTTGGGTAGGCAGATAAGGGCCTTACACAGCAACTCATTCAAATCAAAAAACACCGCAAGACCGAACAAAACCCTGTGCCCGCTACCTGCAGACCACCAGCTTGCAGGCCCGATGCTCCGGCCTCAGCCCGCATGCTCCCTGAGCCCCCTCCTTCCTTCTCTGTCTGTATCTCTACCTGACCCCCTCCAGGTCCTGCCACCACCCTGAGAGAAGAGGTTGACCCTGATAAGTCAGAAATGGGGGACTCTTGCAGCTCTCTCAAAGCACCCAAGATTGAATGGAAAATGTCAAAGAGCCACTGGCGTTTCTGTTAAAGCCAAGAGTCCCGTGGAAGGACTAGGACACTCTAGATCGGGCTGCACTTGGTGAGGATTTACAAAAGTACTCCAGGAAATTTTCAAATGACATACAGAAAATCCGGCACTTAAAGGAAACAAAATTCGGATTGGTTGGCATTTATAAACTCAAACTCATGCTTTAACAGACACTAGACAATAGCGAGAGGATCTCTGCTGATGCTGTGGTTAAAGCACTTGGCTGCTACCCAAAAGGTCAGCAGTTGGAACCCACCAGCCACTCGGCAGGAGAAAGATGAGGCAGTGGGCTCCTGTGAAGACTGACAGCCTAGGAAACCCTGTGGTGCAGTTCCACTCTGTCCTCTAGGGGCGCTGTGGGTCGGAATTGACTCCAGCGCAGTGGGTGTGGTTTGGGCTTTGCTTCAGTAAAAATTGACAGCCTTGGAAACCCTGTGGTGCAGTTCCACTCTGTCCACTAGGGGCGCTGTGAGTCGGAATTGACTGTAAGGCAGTGGGTTTGGTTTGGGCTGTGCTTGTATCAAGACTGATAGCCTGGGAAGCCCTGTGGTGCAGTTCCACTCTGTCCTCTAGGGGCGCTGGGAATCAGAATTGACTCCACTGCAGTGGGTGTGGTTTGGGCTCTGCTTCTGTGAAGATTGACAGCCTTGGAGACCCTGCGGGGCAGTTCCACTCTGTTCTCTAGCAACTTGTAGGCTGACAGTAGGTTTTAGACAATGGGAGGTCCCTTAAACATTATTTTGCTAATTGTAAAGTTTGAGTCATGTAACAACATTTGATCTATGGCTGTTTTGAAAGCCAGCCAGAGTGAAGGCTTTACCCAGGAGCATGTGTGGAAGGAAGGGGGAGGCCAGGAGCCTGCAGGCTTCCTGAGGTAGCTGGCTGTTTGAAAGTCAGCTCAGAATAAGAAGTAAACAGCAAACGTGGAGTCTGACCTGCATCTTTGGCAGAAGCCTCTCTTTATCCCAAGCACTTTAGCTCTTTTGAGATTCACAAAACCTAATTTGCTCTGTAAAGTTTTCCCCAAACCATAATAATAATAAAACACACACCAATAACCCAAACACCTCACTCTTGTGCGTCGTGACGGTCTTCTCAGAGGAACTGTGCTGCAGTGTTAAGCTGGACTCCCTTCCCAGCACGTGACAGGAGGTGCCCTTCACAGAGTAAGGAGATGCGGTGTGGGGCTGGCACAGGCCACAGATGCCCATTACTGTGCAGGCGGCAAATGGACCTGCGGGCCACCATGCCCGGATGTGTATCGATGAGCTGTTTGTCAAAGCTGATAGATGAAGCTGGAGAGGAAGACAGGCCCTCCGGCGCCAGGCCAAGAAGCCTGGATTCTCTCCTGGGGGAATGGGAGCTTTGGGACACGTTACCGGGGCCATGCAAATAAGGTGTGTGGAACCCTAACCAGGGGATTGGTCAGTTTTGCCATCCCGCTGGGCTTAAAATGAGTCATCCCAGAGACAAGAAAGGGAGACCTCACTACCACCAAGAGGGAAAGATGGGAGCAGAACATGTCCTTTGGATCCAGGGATCTGTACTTAGAACCTCGTAGTCCCAGGGGACGGAGGAATAGAGAGGCAGAGCTGTATTACTGATTCCAGTAGAGAAGTAGAAAATGCCATGGAGGGGGACTGCTGGTGTCAGAATTGGTGAAAAGAGTAGAGGGTGGAGGCGTGTCCGACCTCTGCCTCATAGGAATCAGCCTTAGGCGGACTGGTCCATGAGTATTTTCCCCCTTGTGAAGTTAGGTGATGAGGTCTGACACCCACAGCATACCGTTATTACAATGTGTGATGGTCAGGTCTCCACAGGCTCTGTGTTGGCCAGAAGAGGGCCTGACCTAGCCTGAGAGGTCAGGGAACTCATCCCAGGTAACTGACATCTGAGTTGAGTGTTGGATGATGGAGAGGGGTTGCTACCAGTGAGGGGCCAGGCGGACAGCTTGTGCAAAGAGCTTGTTGTTGTTGTTGTTATGTGCCGTCGAGTCAAACCTGACTCATAGCGACCCCTCCTTGGGTTTCCGAGGCAGTATCACTACGGAAGTAGGATTGCCCAACCTTCCTTCCAAGGAGTGGCTGGTGGGTTTGAACCGCCAGCCCTCTGGTTAGCAGGCAAGTGTCTTAGCCACTATGGGAAAGCGTCTTTGCGTGGACAGCCACAGGCAGTAGCTACAGGGCTGCCGGAATGTGGAGGGAAAACAAATGCAAGATTTGGATCCAGGAAAGTATCTGAGCTGCAGAGTGGTGGGAAATAAGACCGGGTGAGCAACAGCCCTGGGAGGGTTTGGAATTCGACTTCCAAGTACCCACGACAGGCATGAGCAGAGGACAGAGTCCGTTTGTTCTCCGAAAGGCCGTCTGGAAGTTGGGGCTGGAGAGGTGATAAGCGGTGGAGGAGAGACTGACGGCCAGGAGGTGGAGTGGAGGCGGCAGGGAGGCTGGGGCAATGGTCCAGGTGGGAGGGCAAGAGGCCTGAGCCTCTGAGAGGAGACTGTGAGCAGAGAGAGGGCAGGAGGGGCGGCTGGGGCCTGCCGGGTTGTGAAGGGGCAAGGGGAGCCACTGATGGTTGGCCCCGTGACTAGTGGAGAGTGGGGCCGCTCCAAGATGGAGGACCCGTGGGAAGGAGGAGTGGGTTTAGGGGATGACTTGGAGCTCGCTGGGGAAGTGGTGAGTGTGAGGAGCCGGGGGGATTCCAGGAGCTGGCTGGAGACCTGAGCCCGAAACTGAGGAGAGAAGCTGGAGCCCGGAGCGGAGGGTCTAGGTGTTACCGTGCCTGATGGAGGCTGTGGGGGTAGCTGGAATGGACTGCAGAGAGGGAAGTACAGTGGGAAGGGAAGCACCTTATGAATCTAGGGGGAAAGTGGAGTGATGGATAGTTAAGTGTTCAGCTACTAACTGAAGTTGGAGGCTCACATAAACCCAGAAGCTCTGGTAGCGCAGTGCCTAAGGCACTTGACTGCTAAGCAGAAGGCTGGTGATTCAAACCCACCAGCCACTCCTCAGAAGGAAGATGGGGCAATCTACTTCCGTAGAGATACTGCCTCGCAAACCCAAGGAGGGGTCGCTATGAGTCAAGTCCAGTCAATGGCGGTGACTTTGGTTTGGGCTTTGCTCCCAGTGGGTGTGGTTTGGGCTTTGCTCCCATAAAGACTGACAGCCTTGGAGACCCTGTGGTGCAGTTCCACTCTGTCCTCTAGGGGCGCTGTGGGTCAGAATCCCCTCCAGGCACTGGGCTTGGTTTGGGCTTTGCTTCTCTGAAGGCAGGAGCTCTGGTGGTGCAGTGCCTAAGGCATTTGACTGCTAACCAGAAGCCTGGCGGTTCAAACCCAGCAGCCACTCCTGGGAAGGAAAGTTGGGCAATACACTTCCGTAGTGATACCTCCTCAAAAACCCAAGGAGGGGTCGCTATGAGCCGGGTCCAACTCGATGGCACATAAAAACATCAATCCAGAGGCGCCTTGGAAGAAAGACCTGGCAACCTATTTCTGTAACTCAGCCACTGAAACCGCTACGGAGCACAGTTCTACTCTGACCCGCATGGGGTCACAGGAGTCAGAGTCGACTCCATAGCTGATTTTTGTTTTTGTTTAGGGAAAAAGTCGAAATAGAAGAGTCCAGGCCAGAACCCAACCAAGGGGCCCTCCAGCAAATCCAGGAGGCTCCTCACAGGGCTGTTGTGAGATTAAGAGTCAACTCAAGTACAGCATTTAGAAGAGTCCTTGGCAAACAGGAATGGCTCATTAACATTTTAATAAATCTCCATGAGGATAGTGAAACCCAACCAACCCACTGCCGTAGGGTCGATTCCGACTCACAGCGCCCCTAGAGGACAGAGTGGAACTGCCCCACAGGGTCTCCAAGGCTGTCATCCTTATAGAAAGGAGCTCTGGTGGAGCAGTGCCTAAGGCACTTGACTGATAACCAGAAGGTTGGCAGTTCAAACCCACCAGCCACTCCGTGGAAGGAAGATGGGGCAATACACTTCCGTAAAAATGTACTGCCTCGGAAATCCAAAGGGGGTCGCTCTGGGTCGGAATCGACTGGATGGCAGTGAGTTTGGTTTTTGGTTTAATCTTTACAGAGTGGACTGCCTCACCTGTCTCCCATTGAGCGGCTAGTGGGTTCTAAATGCCAAACTTGTTGTTAGCAGCCCAACGCTTTAACTACGGCGCCACCGGAGCTCTTTAGAGCAATGGAAAGTACCTAAAAACCCAAATCTCTAGGACAGAGGAGAACTGCCTCATAGGGTTTCCATGGCTGCATACCTTTACAGACGCGGACGGCCTCACCCTGCGCTAAGATTAGCAGCCGAACGCTTTAACCGCGCCACCGGCGTTCCTTGGCATTACCTGAAATTGCACATATTTGGATCCCAGTTATCCCTCTGTTGCTTTCTAGCGCTGAAACTTAGGGAAATTGAGCCTGACTTTCAGATTCAATTTATTTCAGACGTGGCCAACTCCAGGTACTTTTAAGGAAGGAAGTTTTCTTTACTCAGGATTTCTGAGAAAGAAAAAAAAAAAAAAAACACGGGAAACAGTCGCGCCCCCACATCCTAAGGGCCAATTAGGGCGTGCTCCGCTTTCCGGAAATGTAATTCCGCGAGACCCTGCAACTGCCACACGTCAGCTCCGCCTCGCTTCCTGCCCATCCACTCTCTTGGCTCCGCCCCCTTCTCCTCTACACCAATCAGAATGCGGTCCGCACAAGCGGCGCGCAGGTCCTCGAGGTTCAGCGCCCTCTGCAGCCATTAGTTATGAGTTTCTATGGTTACCATTTGGGGGCGGGAGTGTCAGGCCAGCCAAGCCTCCTGGGAGAAAGGCAGATTCCGATTGCCTGCTTCCTCGCTTTACCTGCGGCCCAGGTGTCTCTCCCGCCCCCGCCCCTTCCCTCGCCCGGAGCCCGACACCTGGTCGCCTCTCTCCCCTCCTCCCCCCTCAGCCAGGCGCCTCAACGTCTCCTGGGAAGGTCTCAGTCAGAAAACCCTGAAGAAACCTTTGGAAGCTGCTGCGAGAGGCGTCGGCCTTTATTAGACATTTTGCTATGTGGCGGTCGCGGTGCTGACATCGTCCCAAACGTCTGGGTTAATTCTCATAAGAGATGAGCTCAGCTGTTCAGACCCAAGAACCTCTCCACAGGAGAGGGATGCGGCAGTCTGCCTCCATAAAGATTGCTGGCCTTGGAAAGTGTGGAGCCGGTCTACTGTGGGGTGCATAGGAGCCTCGGCAACGGGCTTTGGGGGGCTTGGTGCCAGGCACCGCTTAGTCCAGAGCCCCCATCTTTCCACTGCACCCGGGGAGAAGTGTGGAACGGACGAGAGGGGATGGAACAGGGAAATCCCGAGAGGATGAGAGCTGGAGGGGTCAGAGACCCGAGGAAGAGGGGGACAGGGACCCCGAGAGAGGGGGACAGAGACTCAGAGAGAGAGGGGGACAGAGACCTAGAGAGAGGGACAGAGACCCCGAGAGAGAGGGGGACAGAGACCCCGAGAGAGGGGGACAGAGACTCAGAGAGAGAGGGGGACAGAGACTCAGAGAGAGGGACAGAGACTCAGAGAGAGGGACAGAGACTCAGAGAGAGGGGGACAGAGACCCAGAGAGAGAGGGGGACAGAGACCCAGAGAGAGAGGGGGACAGAGACCTAGAGAGAGGGACAGAGACTCAGAGAGAGAGGGGGACAGAGACCCAGAGAGAGGGGGACAGAGACCCCGAGAGAGAGGGACAGAGACCCAGAGAGAGAGGGGGACAGAGACCCAGAGAGAGGGGGACAGAGACCCCGAGAGAGAGGGGGACAGAGACCCAGAGAGAGGGGGACAGAGACCCAGAGAGAGAGGGGGACAGAGACCCAGAGAGACAGGGGACAGAGACCCAGAGAGAGGGGGGGACAGAGACCCAGAATGAGGGGGGGACAGGGACCTAGAGAAAGGTCAGAGACCCAGAAAGAGAGAGGGACAGAGACCCAGAGAGAGAGGGGATAGACATCCGGTGAGGGGGTAACAGAGACCCAGAGAAGGAGTGAGAGAGAGACCCCAAAAGAGG